CCCCCCCCCCCCCCCCTTCCTCCTCCCAACCCTCCGTTCGTGAGTCCTCTTGAGACATATGGGGCTGAAGCTGACTATCTACCGACATCTACACCTACATATAGGCTCCCCTCGCGCCCTGGTCTGATGACCCAAAGTTGAAGCAGGTGGGCCTCTACCAGTCTGCGGCGATGACACATGACATTGAGGGCTTTCTTGTCTATTTCATGCCCAACTACCTGGGGTGGACCCCGAAGGAGATTGCGAACTTTGCGGCTATTATTCGCAAAGAGTTCAGGGAAGCCAAGATCCATTCGGTCGTGAAGTGGCACGTGGTGAGGGCTCAAAAGCCGCTGGATGCTTAGTGTACTGCCTCTAAATTGGATATATAACCGACAGGAGGCCATGCCGAACGCGCGGGTGGGTGTTCTTGTTGTCAATGTGAATATCTCGGAAAATAACTGTACACGTATCACTCTACCTTTGGTCATCAATGTGGCCAGTATCTTATCTCCCTGCCTGAAATAACGACTTGGATATACCTACATATTCCCCCCGTCATTTTCCTACCTAGAGTACCTCTAGGTACTCTCATTTTGGAATATGTCGTTGATGATCATGGATCCCCTTGCAACCTTATTTTCTTACCCGCCCCTCGCCCCTGACTCACGAACAAGGCCCATCGCTGTTACTTCAGCCTTACCCGTTCTATGCATCCAGAGGCTACCTAGACTAGGACCGGAATTAATGTTTGGGAACATACAATGTCGAACAAAGACATGATGGGAGGTACTGTACCTGAGCTGCCCATGAGCCGAGGAAGGCCTAGGCTGGCACGCCGGTGGGAGCTTTGCGCTAAGAGATACTAGCAGATCTTTGACTATAATTGGTGTAAAAGTGTTAGTGCACATGCTTGGATGCAGGAAGACTTGGTTTGTGCGCCGTCATGCATAGGTAGAGGTAGGTAGGTACCTCTAGGTAGGTACCTTGAAGTATCTTTATCCATGCACCCATATGCTACCTATCGGATGAGCCGCATCCGTCCGTTCAGTAGTAATGTCCTCCCTCTCCTTCTTGTCATGCTTGTTCGTTTTGCCGACAGAATCAAAAAGTAGTAGGTAAGGGAGTTCATCTTTTGAATCAAATCCAGGTTCGAAACGTCCAATATGGCTTTTCGAAGGGAGGGCTGGGGCCACGAAGGTGAATAGTACTCCCACCACCTCCTTTACCAAATAATGAACCGCTGATGATGTTCCTCTCCTTTCGCAGCGTTGTCTTCCATGTCGAACTTTGCTTATACGTGTAGTTGCGTAGAAGGAAACCACAGGGATAGCCTTGACGCAAACAGTAATTTCGGGCCCGGGTAAGGCTCAAGGCACGTGTCCGATCTGGGGTCAACCCTGTATAACAAATGTGACGAGTCATTCCATGGTTTTGACTACAAGTTTTATATTTCCAAATTATTTTTTTTGAGAAAAGGAAGATGAACCTTGACGTAAGGTAGAGGTACCAGGTTATCCAACTGCCCCTATCGTGGGAAATTACCTATCCAGCCCCGATCGGTGTTGTTGCCTACTACTAGCCGTACATTACTCCTAAGCATCCACTGGCTTCTGGCCATACACCTTGCGGAAGACAAAGTACCCATGAATGCTCATGTCCTTCATCTCCTTCTTCAAATGTCGGATGTAGATGCCGATCTCCTCCGTAGTCCACCCCATGACCTTACCAAACATGAACTGCAGAACACCATCGAGATCCTGGTTCATGACGGCATAGAAGTACAGACCAACGTCGTTCATCTTTTTGTCCTTGGGCCATGGCGAGATGGGGACCTGCAGATATTCCGTAGTCAGATTCTCTGCTGGGATAGACAGATATACGACACTGTGGGGGAAAGCGGAAGATGGAACGTACCTTGTAATCCTTCACCACGATATTCACGAAACCGGCCTCTTTCATTGCACTCTCCATCATGGCAGCGGGGATCAGGACCTGCCCAATCCTCTTGCCTGCCTCGTGCCATATGGGGCCCCATTGGCCTAGAGCATGCACCTTTTCGTCGATGGAACCATCGTCCGAGTGGATCGTACCGTGTGTATCCATGTGCTCGATGTACCCGCCCGGCTTGCAGCACCGGTAAGCGTCCTTGTAGAAGGCAAGCCAGTCCTTGACGGTCCCGCTGAGCCAACGGACGTGGATGAAGTCGAAGAAGTCAGGCTTGTAGGTCCATTCCTTATTGTAGTCGTCGATCTCGAAACGGATGTTGGGGGGAACCCAGCTGGGCTGGATGGGCGAGATGTCGGTGCCGATGACGTTGCAGTTGGGGAATGCGTCGGCGAAGTCGATTGCCCAGAGGCCTGAATGTCGGGTTAGTACCTCCACATGTATAAAGGACGACCACTAAAAAAAAATAAAAGTGTAGAAAGTCGGCGTACCTGTGCCTGTGCCGAGATCGATGGCATTCTCCATTTTCTTGGGAAGAGGGGCATCATAGAGCCTGCCATCCAAAAGAATGGTCATGGCATGATGGCTGAAGTGCAATATTTGGTCAGCTACAAGAACTCGCTAGGTGAACACAATGGTCTTGCACTCACAAGATATCCAGCAATTCGTTCTGCTTTTCGTCGTTAGGGCCCCTGTATCAGAATTCACAATGCTGGTTAGCGTTGGCTGTTTCTTTCTCCATACTCGTCTGAGTTCGATAGAAGCGCCGTAAAGACCCAACGTAGAGGTCAGGACGAGCGATCCTCAGACAATGAGACTTACCAATACTCTGAATCCGTTATGCTGTCGCTATGATACGTTCTGCCGTTCATAGTACGGTATCTGAGGATACTCGAACCGATCGAAGCAGTCGAGCTCTCGACATCGCTTCCAAGGGTCGAATCCGCATCATCTTCTTCCTCCTCGGGAAGTCCCTGTAGTATCGATGTGAGTGATCAATTCCCATCATGATTGGGGCTTGTGAGCTTGTGGCCGGTCCGTACCTGTTCGGCCCAGTGAGATCCAGGAAGAGGGGCATTCGTTTCAGCAGCGGGAGTGGCAGGAGCAGGCGTGCGTCCCCTCGCAACCGCCGGAGTGGCAGGAGCAGGCGTGCGTTCTTTTGCAGTAGCTGGCGTCGCAGGAACAGGCGTAGATTCTCTCGCAGCAGCTGGAGTGGCAGGAACAGGTGTTGACTCTCTCGCAACTGCGGGGGTGGCAGGAGCAGGTGTAGATTCTCTCGAAGCCGCTGGAATCAGAGTAGGAGCAGGCGTGGATTCCCTCGCAGCTGCTGAAGTTTCTGGAGCAGGCGTGGGTGACTTTGTTCGCGCCTTTTTCGCCGGAGAAGCCATAATGAAATCTTGGATATTGGATACCGTGAACCGTCCTGGTGGGAATTCGAGGTTTGGGTCTGGTGGAAAAAGAAAGGAGGATGGACCGTCCAAGAAGGGAAATGTTTCGGGTGCCAAAGCCGTCGGGATTTATAACATCGATGAGCTACTTTAGGCCGGGTGCCCAATTCACACCGTGCTGTCCAAAATGTAACATCGGAATTCGGAAACCATAACATCTACCACTCACCGCCTAAAATTCCACTTGGTGGTGTCAGGGGTGTCCAGTTCAATGCCGGTTTGTTATTTAGCGCGGTGCTTGCGACGACTTCGACAATACACAAAAAATAACGAGACAGCCACGTTCAAGGAAGCAATTGCTTGATTGAAAAATAGTGAAATGGTAATTGAGTTGAGCAGAGTATCATGATGTAAGGTACTTATGAAGTCCTGCGCTAACGAATGTTTCAGGGCAAGAATGTAGCAGTGTAGGGTACCAAAGTATGTGGTATGATTTTTGCTAGCGTCTTACCACGTGGAAGGGTGGAACACGGTTGCTTTGAAATCCGATGACACCCAGACAGTTTATTCCGCCCCAAGCTCGCTGTCGTGAACATCGTGTGTTTTCCTCACTACCAGAAAAGCCGTTGCTTCTTACTTCTCTTGCCCTTTGACCGCCCTCGCTTCCTGCTCGCTACGAATTGTACCTTGCCGTTGGAGCATCTTGGTATAGCGGGAGGCCGGCACGTGGCCAGGTAAGGCTGAAAGGATCCCTTTACACACAATCTGGGGTCTACCTTGTTGAACAATTACGAGGCCCAAGGTGAAACCGGGGTCTGGAAGGATGGCTGGTCAGCTTTTATGTTTCCACGTCCAAGTCATGACCCTTTCCGACATGGAAGACTTGGCCTTTCCGTTTGGCGAAGCTGTCTCGGATGCCGACGACCGTCGTGGTCGGGTGTTAAGAGAAAGGTGCTGGCTGGTAGTGTAGAACAACAACACCTAGCCGCTCGAAGATGCATATGAGCTATGCTGGTCGGCTGAACCGGGTAGTGTACTACCTATATCAACGTTGTTATGCCGATCCGGAGTAATTTCGTCTCAATATTAAAAGCCGTCCACCACACCACAGTTTTCCCTCAACTTCATGATACATCGGTAGGGTTGCTGCGCTATATCTTTTTCGACCCGGCAGATCCTGACCAGTGAGAAGGAAGACCTTTTTAGCCCGACAATCTGGCCACTGTACTATGTAAATCAACGGTTCTCCTGGCCAGGTGTTCATTGTCGACAAGACTGGACTGGGGTCCGGTATCCGGTACCCAACACAGAGTCGTGGCGTGATTGGATCAACGGCGGAAAACCCCTGCGAAACGGTATAGACCCCGCTCGGCTCTTATTTCACAGCAGGCCGGTGTACGTAGACTGATGACGAGTTGGCGGTGCTATTCCGTCCATGTCGGAACTGGGTGCGCAAAGTGTAAAGACTTATCTCAGAGCTTGAAACTGAACAGTGGCTTGAGACAAAAGTTTTTGAGCTGTGTTGCCATTATCAGCAGCCCCGATGTGACGATTCGGAGATATGTAGGGGACGCAAGCGCAGGGCACCATGAGCGGCCGCGTGGCTTGAAACATTTGTCGTCTGTCCTACATACTGTGTATGCTGCGAGAGAAGATGAAGCATAGAAGGGGATCGGATCGGGACTTGCAAGAGAAGGTTTGCTGGGGTCTTGGACGAAAGCCATCAGCGATTATTGGTTACCGAGCAGCCACATAACCACATTGGCTCGAGATTGCATTATAACGACTGGGAGGGTGTGATCCTACGTGAAGATGGCGCCGACGATGCGAAAGAAGCTGAAGGGATCAACATCGTTGGAGGTTTAGTCGAGGTGGTGCACTCCGACAGTCTCTGTCCAGTTGGTCTTTGGATGAGAGGTAAGCCCTTTTTTTTTTTTTTTTTTTTTTTTTTTTTTTTTTTAATTTCCTTCTTCGTAATCTGGATTGCTGTGGCAGACAGTATTGGGAAAGGGAACTGTAGTATCCATATTGTTCAGCCAATCGAATGCCGATGACGGACTGGGGATTTTGTCTTGGTGTTGCGACGCTGTAGCTTACACTGCACAGTACACATTGCTGTTCAATCTATGTAACTAAATATGATTTGATGTCGAATTCACGAATTCATCAGATTCACTGAAGCACTGCAAAGTGACGTCAAAGAGAGATTGGCGATGTCGGCGAGTGTTGGTTGCGTCGGTCGGCCGGTCGGTCGTCCCTTCCTCACGGCACTTCACCACCACACAAAGGTGCTCTTATCAGCATGTCGTCTTGTCTTATCACTGCAAGCACTTCCACAAAAGGAGCCAAGAAATGGCCTAAGCCGAATCAGGGGCAAGAGTCCGGCAGCTGCTTTCACCACCCAACAACCCTTTCAATGGAGTGCGTGTCGACGTCGGTTTCATTCTCAGAATCCCCGCGTTGCGGAAGGTTTTGCCTGTTTTCGCCAAGCGGGAGATCCCCCAGAAGGTTATGTAGAGGTAGGTAGTTGGTCTCTTCCCCTCTCTTCTTGGCAATGCCTGGCCGTCCTCCTCGTGGGGACTGATAATGCGACCTCGCCGGTTTTTGCTGATATCTAGAGTACTAGGTAGGTAGCCATTGATAACGCCGACACAGGATTGGGGGATTCCAAACCTCGTTATCCTTCTCGCCGTTCAGCTTCAGCTTGCACCCCGAGTTGTGTGTGCCTCTCTCTTGCTTATCTGCCGTTGACGACAGAAAAAGAAAGGCCTTGCCCGAGTACCACCCACCCAGCTGCGCATATCTCCTTGCTGTGTGATACACGATCCAGCGCCACGGCGCCCATATCAAGATGACGGACCAAAAGAATACTTATAGGCCATGGCAAACCCTAGGTCTGGCGCCTCTTTGCGACTGGCAATTGTACTTCTCAAGATAGTCCTCGATCACATACCCACTCAGCCACGGAATAAAGACACAATCAACAGACAGAACATATCAGGACGATAAGCACAGCTCTTCACACACCAGGCCGAGAGGTATTCCAAGATGGCCGAGCCAGAAATTGTGCCTGTCACCGAGTGGCCGGACTGGCATGCCAATCCCAAAGGAGGTGATCCCTTCACGCAGAACCTGAACGCGCCCTATGACAAGGTTCGTTGATGGCATCGGACACTGGCAATATCGAGGAAAGAAACAAGCAACTAACCTGGCGTGTTACATCTGTCCAGGGCAATCTTTGTTGGATGCTCGTATGCACTGCCCTATGCTGGCAAATCACCCCGGCCATCGGCTTCCTCTATGCCGGAATGCACCGCAGGAAGGCGGCTCTGACTATGGTCCTCCAAAGTCTCTTCTGTGCTTGCGCTTGCGGAATCCAGTTCTGGGTATACGGTTACTCTCTGTACCAGGCACGAACAACAAACCCCATCCTCGGAGACTTGTCGTTGGCCGTGTTTCGAAACGTGCTTGCTCAGCCATCCATGGCCAACTCGGATATTCCTGATATTCTGTGTATGATGCTCTTCCCATGTCAGGCATCCGCCGGCTAACACTTGTTCCAGATGCTGCCTTTGGTTTTACCTTTGTTTCCTGCACTGCCATGATCTTGGCCGGAGCCATGCTTGAACGTGGCAGGCTGTTGCCCAGTATGCTTTTCCTCCTCTGCTGGACTACTTTTGTCTACTACTTGTAAGTCCATCGCCAACAGTCAACTCCCACAATCACTGACTCTATCCTCTCCAGCATTGCATATTGGGAGTGGAACCCTAGCGGATGGTTATACAAACTCGGTGTCTACGACTTTGCCGGCTCCGGTCCTGTTCACATCGCCAGCGGCTTCGGTGCCCTTGCCTGGTCCCTGATGCTCGGTCCGCGTGTCGCCGACTCGGACGTCGTTGACCGTAAGAAACTCGTTCACCACAAGCCCCACAGTCCGCTGTTGATGTGCCTCGGAACTGTCTTCATCTGGTTTGGCTGGTTCGCCTTCAATGGCGGCAGTGCACCCAACCTCAGCCTGCGGTCCATCTACGCCATTGTCAACACGAACCTGGCAGGGTGCGGAGGGGGCGTCGGTTGGGTCTTGATCGACTATCTCTACAAGAGAAAGTTCAGCTTGGTTGGCTTTTGCTCGGGTATTATTGCGGGCTTGGTCGGAATTACCCCTGCAGCGGGTTATGGTGTGTTCTCTGTTGCTTTCTCCGGGCTACCTCCAAGTGCTCGTTTGACTGACTCGAAGCTTGCGCAGTCCCCGTCTACGTAGCCTCGCTCATCGGCTTCCTCACCTCCGCCACCTGCTACTACGCCGCCAAGTACAAACACCTCCTCTCTGTTGATGACGGTCTCGACATTTTTGCCATTCACGGCGTGGGCGGTTACGTCGGTGATCTTTTGACGGGCATCTTTGCCGACAACTTTGTTCCCGCTCTAGATGGCTATTCAGGCAGCTCCTATGCAGGTGGCTGGTGGAACCGCAACTTCCGCCAGCTTGGACTTCAGTTCGCCGGCGCAACCACTGCCGCAGCCTGGTCCTTTGTGGTGTCGTGCATCTTGCTGTTCATCATCAACAAGATTCCCGGCTTGCATCTACGCGCGAGTGAGGATTCGGAGATCAGGGGCTTGGATATCAAGTACTTGGAGGATGTCGATGAGGAGGGGTTTTACATGAACGAGTGTATACTGCATGGGCGTACTCCGCCGAGGTGTTCTGGGTCTTTGAAGGCTCCCACGTCGGTTACGGAGCCGGTTGGTGTTGAAGGAGGTGAAAAGAGGGATTAGATGGAGGCGTTTTTGAGACTTTGTAAACGAGGCAGCACTACTTGCTTAGTTCATCATGAATTTTGAAGAATTCGAGTCGTAGGCCATCGGCAACATGCTGACGGAGTTCGAGAGGAGAACGGGAGCTCTCTGTCCCGATACAACATGCAAGGGTCATGTTGTTGTTAACGGTGGACTTGGACAGCACGACGAGGGAAACCGGACGACATTGACATCAACGTCGATTTCACCAACTAAACTCCAAATTTACATTTCCCACACATATAAAAGGAATTGGATCTCTATCCTCAAAGTCTCGGACAGTTATTGCTGGCATGCCGTGGCTTTGAGGCACAACGGGCTTGAGTGAGAAGGTTTTCGCTTAACAGTGGATCGGCCGAGTACCGTGCTGGACAGGTCATGATGTCATGCAAACTCTTGACGTCAGCTGTCAGTGAACAACATGCGAAAGCGCGATGTCCATCTTCGTTTTCGATGGATTGAAATTCGATTGGGAAAACTCCACTTTATTTTCCGTGTTGTTCCTGGCTTTGCAGACTCCAACATCTTGGAAGTTGAGGATCTTTGTCGAGTGTGAGACTCAAACCCATCGGGAGTTCAGTTTATATTGGAGATTCTCTTTGTGTACAAGGGAGTATGTAGGTAACTACAACGCAAATGATAGGTACTTGGCCAGATCGAGTTCCCACTGCATTCCGTCAGTAACTGTACCTAATGTACAGGGGAAGCGGCAGGAGGTGAGATCATCATTAGGTACACAACGTCATCGTACTTGAAAGACCTCCTCCCTTTATTTAACCAAACGAGCTCCCGGGTAATGTAGAGTGTTCGTTGTTCGTCTACAACAACAACACATAACAAATCAAACCGAACTGTCGCGGGACCATCACCCACTTCACCTCATCCACCGCAACTACTCCAAATCACACTTTGGTCGTCTTCTAGCAAAAGTGAAGAGAACCAAGAACAATCCATCCAAACGTCAAGCAACGTGATCCTTTAACTCAACTTACCTCCCTTGCCTCCCTTACCCCCCACAACACCCCTCATCCACAAAAGACAACAAAAATGTCAACAGCAGCCAACTACCTCCGCGCCCGCGCCGTGCCCATCAGCATCGCCGCCGGTCTCGGCGGCATCTTTTGGTGGCAGACGCGCGGCGGCAAGACCCAGCCCCGCGGCGTATCGGAGAAGCACAGCGCCACCGACACGGGCAACCGCGACATTTCCGAGACGTTGCAGAAGATGGGCGGCACGGGTGGGCCATCGGCTCGGAAAGAGCCGCTGGCGGAAGATCCCAAGGATACAAGGGTGATTTCGCATAGTCCTGGGGCGTATACGAAGCGGACGCCGGCCAAGACGGGGACGGAGCCCGAGGGGGAACAGACGACGGGGGCGGGGAGGAGGGATACGAAGGATTATGGGGGGAATAAAGTTTAGTGCATGAGGGGTTGGGTTGAGGGGGGAAGGGGAAGGGGAGGGGAGAGGGTGGTGGGAGGTGGGAGGTGGTATGGGAGATGATAATACTGTATTAGTATGATAAGGGTGGAAAGGTTCACGTCGTCAGACTGTCGATGTCGACCAGTCAGTACTCGCGACTTGATGGAGTATTTTCCATGATTGAAAGTTTAATGAAGCATTATCTCACGTCAAACACGCAACTCCAATTTGGGTACCGAACCTGCGTGAGGGGTCAGTTTTCTAACGGAAGGTGCCAGTGTCTGGCCCATGGCAAGGCTAGTCATGCAAGATATGAGGGCAGGTACTCCCTTGTCCAGAATAGGGTATCACAACGAAAGGAAGGAACGAGCATCAATTCTGGACACAACGTGAGCTGACTCTCCCCTTGGAATAGCGGAGCTGTCAATTATCTCCTCTTCAACCAAACAAGTCGCAGTCAAGCATTTTCCCAATCATTCCTCTCCTTCTTCTCACGTCCTGGCTGCTGCGTCTCTTTTGACAAGCGCGAGCTTTTCTCTCTATCACAGTCGGCCATCTGACTTCCGTCCGAGATGACTGGATACTTCGTTAGCAATCATGAGCATTTGTCATTCAACCAATCTTTTATTGCGCGCAGCTTTTTCACACACATTAAACATGTTGTATGATGCTGTTTTTATGCTAAGTTTTGCCACCACACATCATGATGAATTAGAAAACAGAAAAAGAAAACAAGATGTTAGAAGAAAAGAGACGTCGCTAACTTCTTTCAAGTTCATTATGCTCGCCTGTATGCACCTCTGTTCGAACCAACATCCTCTAATGCCTTGTGTCGCCTTTGATGTTTTGTTCTCGTGTGTTTTAACGCAGCTCATACATCACACCCCTTTCCTAGCATGCCATAAGGATGAGCAGATCTCATGGACAAAGTTGTTCTCCAGCCTTCCGAAGAGTCTTTTGTATCTCCAAACGTCGCAGCTAAGTGTCCTATTCACCGTCATCACGTCCAGTACTACTGCGGCTTCATTCCACCAACTGCGATCAAGGTTCTTGTCATGGCATTGAGCACAACGAAGGTTACGCTACAAGTCTTTACAGCCAGAAGCCATGCTCTCCGCCTTGTAGACAACCAGCGTCCATTATCGGGGCACCCATCGAGCCCTCCCTACTAGAACCGCTTCGCTCGTCCACCAAGAAGTACAGAAGCTCGCCAATGTTCCTGGTATGACGGTCGAGCGGGGGCTTTACTGGCTTCCAGCTGACACTAGCAACTTCACTTTGACGGTCCCAGGTACTCTCGTCTTTATTAACCGGAAATCTTTCTACGTCCCGTCAAAGCCTTTGCCTTGAATTTCTTCCAACTTTCACTGCCGTATGCTCACATCAACCTAGCTCACACCACAAAGCTCACGTACCTTCCTCTCGGAAGCCCATCCTGTCATGATAGTTCCAGCCGGGGCCCAGACCACAGCGACCCAGACACCCTTCACCCGTCACCGATAACATCGGACGAACGAACAAAACCTTGAGCCGCGCTCCCTTCACAGCCAACCAGGCAACCGCACAACCAGTCCCCTACGAATTCCCTTATAAGCTCAAGGTCCAGCCCCTACTTCCAACAACAAGTCCCCTCGCCGTTGGCTCAACCAGCGGTAGTAAGGTCCCTACAGGCTACAAGTGTAGCACCACAAGTGTGGCGAAGGGTTCCGCGTTCGACTCTGACGAGTGTCAGGACGTTTCCCGAGGGTGTTGTTTCTTTTTGCTTTTTTGTTGTTTTTGTTTCTTCCTCTGCCCTTTTTTCTTGGTGTGTGCCCCTCTTTCTTTTCTCGTGCGCTTCCTGCTCTTCTATTATGAATTCTTCCTACTTTTCGGTATGCGTCGGCGTAACTTGATCGAGATGACTGATTGAGAACCTCGACAGCTCTCCTGGCGTCATTCTCTTTTTGAAACAAGGCCGATACTTGTGTTATGGTCGGCAAAGTCTCAAACTCTTGCTCTTTGAGGGGACCAAACTTTGTGATTTGCGAAAGTATGGTGTTCAGAGCACTGCTGTCTTTGAACTTTGGCTTTGCAGACTACAGCGCACCCCTCAAAAGTTTCGGGGAATTTGGCTCTTGGTCTCTTCGCTTGTTACACTTGGTGGAAGTTTCAAGAGCTCGAGAGTCCTGGACCACATACCACAGTACAACTCCCATCCTTTGAAGACCCCGGCGCCGGGGCCGGCTACGGCGAACAGTTTGTCCTCCCTCAAGTCTGCGGATGCGACTTCGCCAACTTCGGTCTGTCCTTCGAAGACTTTAATAGTATTATCCCTATCTAGATTCAAATTCCTAAACCCCCATCTTATTATAAGGCCAATAATAGAAACTTCGTCGCCAATATAGTTGGCGATAGCGGCCTTCACAGGTAACTGTTGTTGTTTATCGACGAACTCGATTGGCAGCGCCGAGATAACAGTCAGCGCCCACTGCATGCGTTTTTGCTGCGCGGCCAAGTCCGCGTAATTCTGCTGCAAGTTTGCGCATCTTTCCTCAAGGTGTGTGGCCTTCTCATGGCAGTCTTGGAGGCTGGGACTGGAAGAGAAATACTGGGTGGTGACCGGCTTGCCGCGGACCTTGATTTCCCTAGATGGAAACAGAGTATGTATGGATCGTGAGGACACTTGCTCCTCTCACTGTGTTTTCTCTTTTCTCTTTCTTTTTTCTCCGCGCGTGCGTGCAAGGTAGTGCGCGCTTGTGTACGGGGCCGCACGGTAAACCCCGTTCCATTCCCTGCCTCCCTCATTGAGACCGACGACCTTCAAGTCATCTGCTCAAGCGCTAGCTTCGTCTTGGGATGCGACTGCAGAGTGCAGACCCGCCGGCGGCAGCGCTAATACGAGCTTGGTGTTGACAGAGGAGATCGATGGGCATGCCGTTGTCGATATGTCTTGCGACATCGGCCCTATATATAGAGTACCTAGATCCCTTGGACATGGTGGTCAGCGCTGGCGCTGGCACGCGAGAGCAGGCACCGGCCGTATCGCAGCCAGTAGGTACCTGTAGGTAGTTTGAAGCTACCGAACAAGTCAACTGTCTTCATGTGAGTTTCGTCCGAGGTAAACTTTAACTTTACACGTCGTGCGTTGTGTGTTGAAGGAATCTTCATCTTATTTCTGTTCAGGGTGCCTTGTCTTAAGGGGAGTTTCGTACAGTCAGGAGTGAAGCGTACCTACCTGATTGAGGAAAATGAAACTGACTAATTCCCTCTCTTTATCAGATAGCATGGCACACTTTTCGGCGGCCTTCTGTTTCATTCTTTTCCCGCTCCTTCCGCAATTCGGCCATCGTAACAACCAGATGTTCGTCGACGAAATACTTGGGAAATCGAGGTTGAGATTGAGTTTGAAATCGAGGCCTACGAGCGAATTGGGAATGAGGTGGGTGCTCAACATGTTGAGTCCTTGCAGAAAAGCTGTGCGCGCAACCTTGGATCAAAATGTGCAGTTGGGTGTCTCATACTGTTCACTTTTACCAGACGGATGAGGATGGCGCGAGTTTGAATTCATCGACGGCTCAGGGCCTGCCGCCTTCTCCCAAACCGGAGAGGCTACTTGTGGTGTTGTAAGCAAGTTGGTGTGGTGGTGTAAACGAGTGCCTGGTAAGAATTTGTGATGATTGATGTGTATAAAAGTTTGGTTTCTGGGAGAAGAATTTGATTGGGGAAGGTACGAGTGGTTTAAGTAAGTACCTGTTGGGAGACTAGGCCCAGGTCAAGTTTCCCAGTAGTAGGTAGGTACCTACCTACCTTCCTCATAGGAGCAACTAGCGACAACATCGTTGGAAACCAAGCCACTGCAACATCCAGACACCATCGCTGTTCAAGTGTAATGGTCAATATACAGGATTTTACCTACGATGTCTGCCCCGGCCAAAGCTGGGAAAAAATGTGCGACCGCGAAACGCCCACCACCACCAGAGAAAGTCGCACCTCCATGCCATCAACGCGGTGGCGGTGGCGGACCCGTGCCATTCTTCTATGGCGTTTGAGGATTTTCGTAGAGGTAGGTATTCAAGTGACACTACTCGTCAGGTCTTCAAAATCGACCGTCTGACTAGCGGGCGGGCCACTAGTTGACGAGTATGTTCTTTGCGAACCCCCACAACGAAGCGCAAAGAACAGCATCATGCATAGGATGTAATGTCTTGGTTGCAGTGCTTGCACATACCAACCGCGGCATTTTCAAGATCTGATCTGCTGTTCGGTGCCCGGCAGTATTGCCAATGGTGCCGCATGCAACAACTGCCATTACCTCCAGTCAATGCTGGCGGGCGGGCGGCACGCATTTTGCTTGTGCCCCAACTACCTAGAGGTACCTAACGATGCACGCACGCACCCGCAATAAACGTAGGCAGGTAGGTACCTAATCTCGAGGTTAGAGGTACGGAGTCACCCACAGTCACTATCCTAAAGAAGGTTCGCAACTGGATAAGTAGAGGTAGTTAGATACAAGGCCAATTCCACCCTACCTAACTAGCTAGGTAGGTATCTTCATGATATAGACTAGGTACTAGCCTTGGCCGCCATGTACGTACAACACTTGACCCCCATTCGTTCTGTCGTATATGATTAACATTGGTATGTTTTCACTATAGTAATATTGTCTGGGATAGAGGTACCTATGTTTATTGCCCGGCACGGACATGACCCCCAGCTGCCGCCCCCTTGAACGATTGGACCTCCTGCTATTCCGAATATACCTATTCTTGAGCTTGAGCGTATGGCTAATTAGTTTGCGGGTAGGTATGTCCACGGCATACAGGTTGGTTTTCGTAGCTTTTTTTTTCTTTTTTTTCTTTTTTTTTGCTTTTTGTAGAGGGGGGTAATAGGTATGTGCTCGAAGATACCTGGATGAATTTGCAATGAGTCCTCAGGGTACCTAGATCTCGATTCATGTTCCTTCGCAGTATCTACCTCTATGGGGGCTTGAAACGGATTGCAATAAAACTGTGAAATGAGAATTGAGCTGCGTTTGTAGAGGTGTTTTATGAATGAAGAATGCGAATGTATAGGTAAAGTAACTATAGGTGACAAGAATGGCGAGCTGCGATCTTCCAAGTATGAACTGAAGAGTATGGGGACATACACATAAGGGGTTGTGACTATGGGAAACGGGGTATGAGTTGCGTCTATTGAATATCGTTTCCGTGTGCTAATGCACGTCGAGTACTTTCCATTCGCTTGCTGGCTTCATGTACAAAAGATGAACACCGTCAGACTAAACTTATAACCAAAGAAAAAAAAATATATTCGAAATAAAAACTCACGTCCACTCTCAAGCACTGCTTCCTTTCCTTTCCTTCTCCTTCTCCTGACCCTGCCTACTGGAACTAGACGTTGTCCTCTTCGTATGTGCCACATCCGGCCGCTTCTCTTGCTCCTGCTTCACCTGAACCACCGGCACCGTGACCTTGCTCACAGATGCTGGACTCTTCTCTTTCCTCTTCCCCTTCCCCTTCTCCTTCTCCTCCTCATCTTTCAACCCATCCAACGACCTCTTCCTCTTGATCGCCGAGCTTCTTCGCCCGGTGGTGCCCATATAAAAGTCATAACGATCCGGGAACAAAATGATATTCGCCATCCTGGCGACTTCGGCCTCGGCCCGACTGACAGCAGGCGTGCTCGATGATACGCCGCCGCCAATGATTTCCGCCGTGCTGGACTTGGCGGCAACTATGCTGGCTGTTGTACCCTCCATCTCAACATCCTCATCGTCGACTTCCCCATCGTTGCTAGAATTACTGGTCGGCGTGGGAGCAATGTCAAAGGGAGCCAGTCCCATGGCCTGCAGTCCCGCGGGGCCGCCGACCTCGGCTATCTCCGTCTCGCCCGGCCTTCCAGCGTGCGACGCCTCGCTGCCTAGACCGCTTCCCGTAGAATCAAAGTCAGGACCGGGGTGTCCGCGCTGGAAAGTCTTGCGCTGGCGAGCCAAGTACAGAGCGTTGGTCTGGGTGAGCGGCGCGGCGGGGACGTAGACGAGGATTGACACGGGCTTATTGGGGGCGGAGGGCGTGTTGTTGTCATTGTCCGGCGGCGGTGTGGGCGCGCGGCTTGCCATGATGTTGGGGTTGGAGGTGATGTGGTACGCCAGGTCGGGGTGCCACACGATGTAATCGCCTGTTTGCAGGGTGGGCAGCGTGGTGAGGGTGCGGCGGAGGTGCAGATGCGGGTGCCAGAGCTCGGTGAGACGCTGGGCGTGGCCGGGAACGGCGCCGTGGATGATGGTGCTTTGCTCGGTGTCGAGGGGCCAGTTGGAGGCGTCGAGGAAGGCATCCCACTCGGGACCTTCGCGGCGCTCGGGAGGCGGGCTCTTGGGCGAGAAAAAGGGACGGAGGAGGAAGTAGGCGGTGGCTAGCTTGGGGCTGGGAAGCAGCCGCACCATGCCCGGGCCAATGGTGCTGAGAGCCACGATGCCCTGGTACATGCGGAAGATGCTGCAAGCACCGTAGCCGTTGTAGAGATCCGGGGTCGCAGTGACGCGGTACGTGGGATCCCAAGGGTCGTACTTCTCCCACTCGCCCTTGAAGACGGCGTCGTAGGTGCCTCCGCGACCGTACCCGTCCGATTCCCAGCGCTCAAGACTGCCGTTGTCGACCTGAGCAATGACGGTAGAGGATGCGAAGTCGTCGAGGAGCTCCATGGCAGCTCTTTTGGCCTCGGCGGCGGCAGGGTCCTCGCTCGCCTTCTTCTCGGCGGCATCGGGCCCTACTCCGCCGATGTTGGCGCCGTGAATGCGCAGACGATCGGCGTAGGAAATGGGGAAGCGGGTCACCATGCGGTCGTCGGCGTCATTGTCCCAGAGCGACATGGCGAAGCGTTGTGCTTGCAGAACCTTGGGGTGCGCGCGCGTGCGCACTTGGGCCGGCGTCCAGAAGAAGTCGAAGCATGTCGGGTCTTGGGGGATGGGATCCTTGAAGTCATGCTTGGTTTCGAGGTACTTGACCGTCTCGTCGATGGCCTTTTGCGCATCGGCGGGGGGCACGACGCCGCGGATGACGCCAAGACCGTAGCGCTTGAGGTCGCGGGCGAAGTCGGCCTTTTTGGAGGGGTTCGCGATGTCGCCAAAGTCGATGCTGGGCGTGATTGACGCACCGCGCTGGGCAATGTCCTCAACCTCGTCGCGCAGTGCCGTTATCAGACGGGCCCAGGACGCCTCGAGCTCCTTCTCGTGGCCGGCGACGAGACTGCGCTTGATCTGTGCAAAGCGACTGGGAAGGGGCACGGGCTCGGTGCCGTAAAAGGAGAGCACGGGCGGTTCCATGTCGTCGCCGGCGGCAGGGGATCGGGAGTTGCTGGCGTGGTGGTCGTGGATGGCAGGAGAACCGCTGCTTCGGGGGCGGCCAATGGTGTTGTTGCTGAGGGAGGCGGCATTCTTGAGCTTCGCCAGGGTGGCGGTTAGGGGAGAGCGGTGCTTGCTGAGCTTCGACTGGATGCTGCGGGGTCGTTGGAGATGATGGCTGCTGTGGTGTACCTGTACCGCCGCGGGCCCTGTTGCCTGTAATAGCGCGGCGCTGAGGCTTCCGTTTCCGTTTCCATTTCCACTTCCACTTCCACCACTTCCACTTGCAACCGAGGAGGACAGGATAAAGTCGGATTCACCCGGTGACTGGCTGTACCCCAGATTGTGGTATCCATTCACAGACAGTCCAGACACAACCCCCCCTGTCCCCTTGTCCAGACCACTGATCGACTCTCGTGACGATCTCGTTATCCTTGTGGTGGCGGGCGTCAAAGGTGCAGTCGATACAAGCACGGCGCCGCCACCACTGGTTGTTGATGTTGCCATTGTTAGGTAGTGGTAGGTTGTTGTTTTCCGTGTTACTACCTGACCATGGAGCTTTTCCGGTTGTTGATTTGCTTGTAACACTTGGTG